AAGATGCCTGGGAGACGTTCCTTCTCCCAAGTGCCTGAACTAGCGTTGGCCGCAAGTCTTGCTCATGGTGTCTGAGCCCACAGTGCAGTCTGCGACAACACGGACTCGCCCTGCCCTGGAAGAAAGACACCTGTCGTACCGGCTTGTCAGAAACCCTGGAAAGTGGCTTCCTTGGGTTCCCCAAAGGGAACTATTTGCTTGGAGCAAATTCCCTGATGCCCTTGACCACTTTTACCTTGAGTAAAAATCACACCTGGTGAGTCAGCTTAAAGAGCACATCTGTGTGGCTTCTTGAATGCTCTCCATGATGACCGTCATGGGAGGCCCTGATGTCTCTGCAGCTCACCGCAGGCTGCGCTTCTCAGTGCTGCACCCCTACCTTGCTCTGATTTCTAAACAAGCCTCCTCTTCCTTCATCAGAAGGATAAAGGGCCTGGCTTGGGCTGCTTGGGTCAAACTTGGGTTTAAACCATCTCAGGGTGAGGCACCTCTTGGGGACAGCACAAACCTCTGCTCCCCTTGGCCAGATTCCTGCAGTGGACGAAAAATTGAAATGCTAGAAGCCTCCACCAAAGACATCAGGGCCACTAGGGAATGACAGCACATTCTCTCAAACAGCCACGTGAGGCACCTCTTGGGGACAGCACAAACCTCTGCTCCCCTTGGCCAGATTCCTGCAGTGGATGAAAAATTGAAATGCTAGAAGCCTCCACCAAAGACATCAGGGCCACTAGGGAATGACAGCACATTCTCTCAAACAGCCACGCCAACGCATGACAGGGAAGGAGGTCCGCGAAGACCAAGGCAGACATTTGGCACAGAAAGGAGGCACTTGGGTTTGGTGCGTCAATAGGAGCTAAAACGTGGCATGGTCCCCCTGCTCTCACGCACGCACATACAACGCCCGCTGTGATCCTGCTGGTTCCAACTCTACTTGTCTTGAAGTCTTCCTCTGCCCCTTACTTTAAAGCAGAGGATTCACAAACCCCAGCTCCTGAAAGCAGAGGAGGGTGGGAATTTCCAGAGGGATCCCAGCGGGAATAGTCAGTGCGTCCCCAGAGTGCACTGGACTATGCGGGAAGGAGCTCAAGGCTTTATCCCGACGTGGCCCAGTTGCACCTCGCACTCTGCAGAAGTTCCAGGCTCAGAGGCTTCTCCCAAACATCTGACCACTGACAGCCTCAGGTGGGAGAACCACAGTGCTGGACTACTCAGAGAAGCATGGAACAGTGCGCCCGATTTGGTGACCAAGATGGGGCAGGACAGCGGGGCTTGAGCCCGTAGTATTGGGATCCCTTCCCGTTCTCCTTGTCCTAACCACACAGGGTCGCCTCATGGCACAGTGAGGGCTCATGAAGGCCAGGGGTGCTTTAGGTCGTGCTACTTCAGGCCTGAAGATGACCAGAAACAAGCTGATGAGGGGGATGCCGAGTTGAAACCCAGGCACTTTCCATCCCTCCCTGGCCCTCCCCATCAGAAAGGGTGTCAGCCACAATCGGGAAGAGAGACCAGTAAGTAAAGTGTCGGGGAGGCTGCTGGAGGCAAAACCACCTTTGGGTAGCACCGCACATGGGGGACCCACAAGTGTCACCCGCAGGCCACCGCACACCCTCCTGAAATCATAGCTTGGCACGTGCAGCATCTGACACCAGTACAGCACAGCAATGGCAAGTTATCATAAATAATTTGGCATACGTAAAATATAAATTATATAGAAATCGCATGTTTGCTTCCTTCTTTTCATTTCTCCTCTCAGGGTCCTCAGGGGCTCTTCTGGCCCAGTTCACCAGATGTGAGCAGGAGGCGTGGAATCGGCAGCACATGCGGGTGGCGTCTCTCTGACATCACACTCCCCCCCACGACGCTGGGAGGCTTCTACCCCCTCATTCTCACTAGCCATCACACCGTCCCCTCGTTCCTGTTCCTGCCGTGTTCTGGAAGGGCCTGACCCGCACGAGCCTTTGTCAGACATGCGTCCCCTTCTTAGGTTCATCTCCATCACAGGAAGACCGAGGTGAGGGAGCCTGCTGCCTCAGATGTGGGCTGGACAGAAAGCGCTCCAGCCATGGCCAGGTGCAGTGGTCACTCAGCACCCTGCAAGCAGGCTGACCACTCCCACAAATACTGGTGTGCCAGGAACTCGGCAGCCACCATGCTTTCCATGCTGTTTCCTTGCACGCCCCTTTCTCACGTGACCCTGGTGGGCACCTGTGCCCAGCTGCTTCCACTCAAAACGCACCTGGCCACAGAGATATGTCAGATAAGAAGTTACTTTCAGGAAAGGCCAATCCATGGTGAAGTTGTTTGTCCCTGTTTCGTAGAGCTGGAAGGTCCTTTGTCCCCTCCTGGGCCTGGACTGTCAGGATTATCAGTCTGGTATGAAATGGGGGCCCCGCCCTCCCCCACTGCTGTCTTGAGGGAAATGGCAGAAGTCTGGCGGGTCCGAGCTGCAAGGGGCTCTCAGATCTTCTTTGAGGAGCCGATCATGACCTTTGATACGAAGTTGACAATGGCGCTGGCAGGCTGCTCAGGGTCATGCTCCGCAAACAGGTGGCACACATTGTCTGTAGAGCTGCCCTGCTTCCGGGCCACAAATCCAAAGACTCTGCAAAAGGAAAGTCCAGGTTACAGTGGAAGTGTCCCTCAAAGCACCGCGCATGCTGTGCAAGCTTCCACCTCCTCCAGCCACCAGCAGCACTACGGTGAGGAACCTTAACTGCCATGTGTCAAAAATCTGCCAGGTGCCAAACACCTGGTTAAGAACCTGTCCATGCAGTTGACCTCCAATCCTCACAGACCAGCAGGTGACGCATGACTCCTGCTCTGCAGGTGGGAACCTGAGGTTGTGAGGTGAGTCTAGGACCTGACTCAAAGCTGAGGCTCGAGCCACAGCTGTTCCTGACGCCTGAGTCGGAATCCTCAGGGCACTTGTTCCTGCAGATTCCTAAGCCCCAGCCTGACATACTGGGCCAGGGTCTCTGAGGGACGGGGTGGGGCCTCAGGGACTTTGACACTCCCCCTCCACTAGAACCAGAGGGAAAATATGTCAAGGGCCTCATAAGCCTGGGTTACAAACTATGTATAGTTCAGGAAGTTTAAAAAGAACAGTGAATCTAATTATTTTTCTTAGAAGAATTGGAGCCATTATCTTAGAAGGCTTTTATGAGTCCTAAACTTAACACAATAACGGCCATTATCCATACCCAAATCCCTGGCATAGGTCTTTCTTCTCATTCTCAGAAAAATGAAGGACTTTTTGTTTAAGCCTAGCAGTTTCTATGCCACAAAAGGGACTGGCCAACAACCCTCAAGTAACCCCGATGGACTTTCAAATTCCAAGCACACGAAATCCCCATGCGACCCCTGCCAGCCAGAGGCAGGAGTGTGCCCAGAACACAGTCCCTGCTGGGGGCTTAGGGGAGGCCCTCTGAGCACTGATCAGCCCTAGACACACGAGAAATCTGAAATAGGAATCCTAGGGAAAAATGCCTGTGATCGGACACTTGTGATCATTAAATTTAGACTGTGTAGATGACCCCCACCTGGGGGAATGCGGACAGTTGTGCCTCAAAGTGGGAGGTTAGGACAAGGTCCCAATGGCAACACTGGGCTGGGAATGATTCCACACTTGTGATCATTAAATTTAGACTGTGTAGATGACCCCCACCTGGGGGAATGCGGACAGTTATGCCTCAAAGTGGGAGGTTAGGACAAGGTCCCAATGGCAACACTGGGCTGGGAATGATTCCCCACTGAGCAAGGCCGCTGAGAACTTAGAGAACCAAGGAAAGGTCCACCTGTAGAGAGGGACCTCTAACAGGTGCCCGGCCTGCCAGAGAGCATGGGCGTGACGAAAACTGTCCTCCCGTACAGTTGGCAAGTACTGAGCACCTGCTTCGTCTGCACTCACACACACAGGCGACTCTTCCTTCTAGCTGCACAGACCTCAGCGTGCTGCGGCCCACACCCCTCTGTATCTATACCAGTGTTATAGATCCCTCCTAAACACCGCAAATCCAGCCAACAGCCAGCAGAGACATTGACACCATTTAGGCCCTCACTATATAAGGAGAACACTTCAACTTTTTTCTATTTTTTCTAAAGCAAAAAGAACCCCTAAAACACATTGACACAACTTAGTTGTTTTTTTATGAGACACCCTCTTTGGAAATCTGGCACAAAATTCAACTTTGGACTATGATTGTAAACGAAGAGAGAATGTAAAGAAATTCTGGCAACTTACTTTGAGGAAGGTCCATCTTTGATCCACCTTGGTAATTAAGGAGAAAAAAAAGAGTTATGTTAATTAAAAAAATTAAAGGGTAAAACAAAGCATAACTTTGCTTAATAAAAATGCAAATTTCTTACTTCCTGTCTTGTGGGTCCAAGGCACAGAAAATCACGCTGCTCACAGGGTAATGCCTCCGGAAGAAGAGCCTGGTGGGATGGGAAGAGAGGACGTTCCTGTTACGGGGGGTTGCAGGGTGGTGGGTGATGTGCTGTGCGGGCCCCCCATGTGAAGATCCGTGGAGCAGAAAAGTATTTTATACTTGCACTTGTCATTTGGAGAACAAAGCTGTGCTCATTAAAAGTCGATAGATGGGCCGGCCCCGTGGCGCACTGCTACAGTGCGCCGCTTGGGAAGCGCGGTGGCGCTCCCGCCGAGGGTTCGGATCCCACATACAGACCGGCCGCTCACTGGCTGAGCGAGGGGCGGGAGCAACGCCAAGGGTGGCGATCCCGTGGCTGGTCCCGGTCCGGTACGGGCGCAACACTGAGGGTTGCAATCCGTTGCCGGACACGAAAAAAGACAAAAAGGAAAAAAAAAAAAAGTCAATAGATGACATGAAGTTGGGCAGACAGTTCTTGGAAACAGTGATCGGAAGCACCATATAGTGAGATTGTGGGCCTCGTGGAAGGCCCCTAACCCTGACCCTGTGTCCACAGTGGGGCCAAGCCACGCAGGGCACTTGCCAAGTGCTCTTTCCCCTTGAGTTACTAAATCCTGAGGCCAGTTTTTTGGTGCAGGTTTGAAAGGTGAGGAAACCGAGCATCAAGGGTTTAGGACCTTGCCCGGGGTCACCCTGCTGGTCAGTGTTGGGGGGTGGTGCTGAGCTAGGATCTGGCCAGCAAAGCCCAAGATCTGCCCATGCTCCTTTTCTTAACAGGTGAAGTCTTATGAGCAGAACCTGAACCTGCCTAAACTCGCTTCATCCTAAAGCCACAGGTGCTTGGGGGGCGGGCAGGGCCCTGCTGGGGGATCCATAGGCAGGGACTCAGCTGGTCTGAGTGGCCCATGGGTACATCTGTCCTGACAGCTCCTGCCATGGCAGGGTGGCCACAGTGGACACCCTGACTTGCCTTGTTAGTCACACAAGGCTGTTTCCATAACAAACACATAGTAACTGCATCTACCATGCCTGTGATCCTAGGTCAAAGGCTCCACTTATAGGAGGGACAAGCCTGTGGCTGCCTCTTCTGTGCCCCCACCGGGCTTCAGTGAACATCCGTGGGTAGAGCACGTGCTCCAGCATAACTGACTCAGTAACAACTCTGATGAGAGTCATTTGAAACCAGCTACAGGAAATAATATGCATCAATATATATCATTATTTTATAACTGGTGGTCATCTTCTCATCTGAAAGGAGATGACCACTAGTTAAAAAAATAAAGATGCTGAAACAAAGACCAGTGGATTCCGATCATAGTCTCAGAGTGTTTTTCAAGAACTTACTTAAAAGACTTTTGCATTTGCAATCACGTGTGTGTACATGTATGTGTGTAATATTCAAAGCACCAAATATATATATATATATATAAAACTGATTCCTGAGAAAAAAGCCTTCAGGACAAATACTATAGTTTATACATGGCTCTTGGGACCTAGGGAATGACAGGGAACAACCTAGATGACAGTGGAAAACTAATGACCTCAAGGGCCACTAAAGATTTACCTGGAAGACCACCCCCACTAGACAAGATCAGGTGGAAGGTGGCATTCCAGCTGTGCCCAGCAACCCGCCCCTGCTGGGCTGCTCCCCACGTCCCTCCCGGGCACTCACTTCCTCTGATTGTCTGTCAGGGTGATACCCTGGGCTGACACCTTGAAGTGCACAACTGTGGACATGGGGGGCGGCTCCTGGACCAGGGTGATGCTCAGGGCCTTCTGGACTGCCTGGTGGCCAGTGAGGGACTCCATCTCCACAGAGTTCAAGTACCACACATTGCAGGCTGCAAGACACCAACGGGGTTGTGGGTTAGTTGCAAATGTCAGGAACACGTGTCCTTTTCACACATGGCAGTTGCCAATGTGCAGACCTTGGATTTATGAACGACTCACACAGGTGGCCTGTGCCAGGTGCATTTAAAGGCAAATGCCCTTTGCTCCCAATTCCGAAGGTGTGGTGAGTGAATGACCCAAAGACACGCTTGCTCCAATGCCCAGGTGGAGAATAAACAAGTCACTAGAGCAAGCAGCCCCTGCCCTCCGTGGTTTCGCCCTCCCACAGGCCTGGCCTCCCAGGTGGCGCCTGAGGCACCTTCTCTGTCCCAATGTGGGTGTGGACAACAGTCATGTTAGCACAGAAGCCCAACTACAGTTATAGGTAAGGAGGCTCCGAGGCCACTGAGGAACGTCCGTGAGAGGAGCATGTGATCCAGAATCCCAGATAAGTGCCTGATGCAGAGTGCGGGAAGGGGCGGCTTCCAGAAGGGGCTGCTGAGAGAATACACGGTTTGCAGTGACCTCAGCACTCAGACTGGAAAGAACCAGAACCTCCCAGCTGCCAAGGAGGGGCACAGGGTCTTCCCCATGGCCACCTCCTCTTGGGCAAAGAACGACCGGGTGTACACATGGCTTTGTAAAAACCTGTTCTCCCCGTGAGCCGCACCCTGCGCTCGAGCAGAGGCTCCCACCACTCCTACCCTGGGAACTCGACTGCACAGCCTGCTCCCCTCTGTGCTAGGCCAGCCTCATGAGCACGTGGTTGGCTTCATTCCACGTTTAAAGACCTCTGGAGTGTCATGGAAAACAACCCTTCCCTGTGACCTGCACCCACACACACAGCACTCAAGGGAATGGCGGCCCTTGCAGGCTGTGTGGGGCCAGGGCTGCCGGCAGGTGCACCCACCCACAGGCCCACCCCGACAGGCTGGAGGAGCGGTGTCAGAGGGCAGGGCCACTCACAGGCTGCTCAGCCATCCCTCTCCACAGCAATGCCATCGCTCACAGCTCAACTGCAAAGTCTGAGGCGTGTTAAGGGTTTGAGACAGCCACTGTGGATGATAATTTGGCAGTATTTGTCAGGTGGATCAGAAACACCGAGAGTAACCTAGAGGTCCCACTTCTGAGAAGATTCAGAAAGGAAATATTCCATAACCACTTGAGAGAATTAATGCATATTCATTATAGTGGAAAAAATTGGAAACAGATTATGTCCAAAAATAGGGAAAGGGTTAAAATCCCTCAATGGAATACCAAGCAACTGGCAAACAGCAATCATGAAAATTATATAGCAGCATGGAAAAACACTGTTAGCAGTTAATTGGAAAAGCAGAATAAAAACTCCCTCTGCTATGGTTAGAACTATAAAATAAAAAACATGTGTGCGTATGAACGGGAGCTGGAAGGGAGCCTGGAAAATTTAAAACAGTTTTTAGGAGAGTGAATATTCTGTCTTTGATTTCATTAGTTTTTCTGTCATGCTGATCAAGCAGTTACAGAAGAGGAAAAAAAATGAGAATTCTGATTTTACTACTATGAAAATTCCACAAAATCGGCACTGGGTCGGGTTCACATGGAACCAGAGGCTGCCACGACCCAGACCCTCGCTCTCCTGCCAGCACCACCATCGTCTTTGTGATAGGGGGCAGGCCAGCTAACTGGAGGCTGGCAGGTGTTTGGGGAAGATCTCTCCTCAAATGCAGGAGCTATGTTGTCCTCCAAGCAGAGGAGGAAATGCTGCCACTTTTTAAAGCACATCTTAGAGAGGCAGTTCTACTGAGGAAATGTCATGTGCCAACACCAAGTCCCCCAAAGCCCAACACTCTCCACAAGAGAACAGGTAGGCTTGTTCAGGTGGGCCTGGCTCAAGACCGTCCAATTCCACTTGACAGTTTTGGTGAGGGGTGAAGATTTGGAGCTATGTTGCCTTGTGAGACACTGAACAGGAAACCGTCCATCAGACCCACAACTCGGAGTCCTGCAGATTGCTAGGCTACTCTGGGAAAGCGATTTGACAACATGGAACAAAAGTCTTAGGTCACATGTTCCAACCGAGCAGTATCACTTCTGGGAATGTGTTCTAAGGCAACAATCGGGGATTCAGAAAGAAGAAGTAACACAGAAAGATAGTCTTCCAAGCACTGTTTGCAGTATTGAAAAATTAGAAACACACTAAATGAACAACCATAAAGAGGTGAATTACAGGAAAGACCACTATACAGCCATTAAAAATGAGACCTGCACATGTTTGTGAAAACCATGGGTAAACTCATTATGTTCAGTGAGAAAAGGAATATAAAAGAATTGTACATGCAGCAGGACCTCAAGCACGGGGCGAGAGGTAGCCCTGGAACAAACCTGGCTGATAATTAGGAGTGCTCTCTGCGGGGACAACACTGTGCCTTCTGTCTCCCTTGTTCCCAGTACTCAGTGGTTGTACGTGTCTGTGACTAATTCATTTTCCCCTTTCTTTCCTGTATTTCCTTTTTTTAAAACTTAAAGAACATGTATGACACTTATTAAAAAAATTATACAGTATGCTACATTAAAAAACACCACCACAACATTTATGGGAAATCTATCAGAAGTCTGGTAAAAATGCCTTCTTTTCAAGATTATACTGCACTCTTCTCCTTCAACAAGAAACAATTAAGAACTGAGGCTTCAAACATAAATAGAAATTGTTTTAGAGAGTGGAACCAAGTCAGAATGACCTTGGTATCAAGTGAAACAGGATTAAACTGAACAGAATTAAAAGTTTATTCTCACCATTGTGAGCTGTCCGACTGCTAATATTTCTGAGTCTTGGCTTCCTCAATCTTTACAATGAGGAAAGTGGACGTGATAACCTCAAATAACTGATGCACGTCCAGGAGTCTAGGACTCCAAGTGATTTAGGACCACAAGTGAAATTAAGTTTAGGGAAAGGCCTCACTCAATTTACTGGAGGTGATCAGAGGCTGGAATAGTTCTAGTACGTTGCTACAACAGTTGTTTTGTACTTAATTCTGACCAAGTGCAACTGATCCTCCAGGTGCAGATGCACTGGTTGAGGAGTGGTCACTGCAATGGCCTCACTCATCTGGGGACAGATCTGCTGTCCTGATTCCTTGCCTTGTCACCGTGATGTTGGATGGAAATTCACAGCTCTCCATGTATTTTAGAAATAAGAGATTTTTCCAGGAAAGCAGCTCAGAGCAGTCATAAGTTAAGCCTCATACATAAACAACTTAGGTGATTAAATAAGACTCGAGATTCTGAATGAAGTCTAACTCTAAGAAGAACCACCCTTTAAAAAATATTTTGAGTATTGATACATTTCATATGTTGTTTTAAAAAGACAGAAAAGCAGACTTAAAAATGACAAGCCAGAATAGAAGAGAAAGCTTTAATATCTAAAACAAGGGCTATTACGGTACATTATTAGGTTAGGCTAATTCACTCATCCATTTATTAATCCAGCGTTTATCAGGTAAATGCAGGATAACAAAGAAGCTTAGGGAGAGACATGAGATGCTCTTGTGGTGAGAAGACAGTAAACCAAAACAGCAGAACACACAGGTGTGTGCCCGGGCACTAACCGTGGGGGACTGAGGGGACAGGGCTGTGTCCCGACAGGATTGGATTCATCTGGACACAGGAGCCAGATGCCAGGCCTGGCTCTGCCACTCACACTGCTGCCTCCCTCTGTGAAATGGGAGACAGGATACCCCACCATGTGCGCCCTGGAAGAGGACGTGGTAACAACTATGGCCGGAGCAAGTGCCTCAGGATGTTGCCATGATAATTCTTCAACGTCTTTCTTGAATGATGCTGACAGATAAGTTGCAATTTAAAAGCCAATACTTAGATGCTTTCAAAATTTCCCATGCATTTTTAAAAGGAGCAACTGAAACAAACAAATCAGAGTGGGTTTGGTTTGGTAGCCCTGTCTCTTAGGTCGAGTGTGTGGGTGAGCTGCTCACAGGGCCATGGTGGGGCTTTAACAGAAGGAGGCTACAAGCCTTGGTGGGCTCCAGAGATCACATAAAACCAACTTGAGGGTGTTGAGGTCGTCGCTGGCATGGAGACCCACTGCCTCACATAACCACCACGGGTGTGGCCCTACCAACCCTTCCACCTCGGCCCACTCAGGGAAGAGCCCAGAATCAAAGGTGGGACTGGCTGTCACAAGGGAAGGGATAAGTCTGCCTTCCCAGGAAGGGCCATTCCTCTTGGGCCAGGAAAACAGTTCCAAGGGCATTCTTCAATGTCCTATTCAATTGGTCTTTGCAACCTTTGTGTAGGGAGATATTGTTATTATTTCCACCAAACAGATGCAAACCCCAGGTCTGCATGGCTAAATGATTTGCCAGAGGTCAAAACCCTGAGGGGCAGAGATTGAACTTGAACCCAGAACCACAGCTACACCCTTCGTTTTTGAGCTCCGAGTTCTAACACACTTGCAATCTGGGGCAAGCTCCTGTTGTCTTTGTTCTAGCCATGGATAACCTACCTTTTAAGGAGAGTCTAAAAGGAGTTCAACACAATAAACATTCGTTTAGAAACAAGACTGACTATACTTTAGCCTAGAAAGAAGCACTGTGAAGTATATTTTTACAGGGAAAAATTACATAGAAGAATACTACAAATTATACAGAGAAAATAACAAGAAAATACCTAGATATTTCACATACCTTCATTATGGAGTTATAGCTGTAAAATAAAGTATTCTACAGATGTAAGTATTCTCTATATAGAATGGAGGCATTTCTACTCCAATTGTCCACCAGACTCAGAAATTCCCCCTCTAACACAGCAAACATCTAGCTTGCATGAAATACCTCCAGTGGGGGAATTCAGAGTTTCAAAATTAGTGGGTCACTGTCCTCTCTAACTGTGTCCCTCCCCCAAGGATGCAAAACTGCAGGAACCCTATGTAATCATGTTTGTCCAAAACCCTCTTAAACTGGGGCCACCAGGACTGCACCTAATGCTACAAAAGTGATCTGGCCTGGAATTAATAATGTGATTACAGCAAGGCTGTTGGATACAAGGTTAATCTACAAAAGTCAATTGCTTTCCTATATACCAGCAATGAACAAGTAGAATTTGAAATTAAAAACGCAATCCCACTTACATTAGCATTCCCCAAAATTACTGAGGTATAAATCTAACAAACAACATGCAATATTTACATGAAGGAAACTACAAAACTCTGAAAATCAATATCAAAGACGAACTAAATAAATAGAGAAATAATCTATGTCCATACATAGGAAGATTCAACATTGTCAAGATGTCAGTTCTTCCCAACTTCATCAATAGATTCAATGCAATCCCAATCAAAATCTCAGCAAGTTATTTCATAAATATTGACAAACTGATCCTAGAGTTTATATGGAAAGGCAAAAGATTCAGAATAGCAAACACAATATTGAAGGAGAAGACCAAAGTTGGAAGACTGACACTACTCGACATTAAGACTTACTACAAAGCCATAGTAACAAAGACAGTGCAGTAATGGTGAAGGAACAGAAAACAAATCAATGGAACAGAATAGAGAACCCAGAAATAGATGCACATAAATACGAGGATACTTCAAAAAGTTCAGGGAAAGATTCATATGACCTTTTAATTCTATTTTTCCACGAACTTTCTGACGTACCCTCTTATGGTCAACTGATCTTTGACAAAAGAAGAAAGACAATATTATGGAGAAAAGATAGTCTTTTCAACAAATGGTGCTGGAACAACCAAAAAATGACTCCACACACAGACCCT